TGGATATAGTGGAGACGCATGCTGGCAGTAGAGTTGATAGCAGTGGCTACCGAAGCTGCACAGGACTCCAAGAAGGAGCCACATCCCCTCCAGGAAATCCTGTTTACATGCCTCACTTCTCTTCAGCTGTGGGAATGGCAGGAGATTATCTCCCCAGCTCAATAGAGGCTCAACTAATGCCACATCTGCTTCAGGGTATGTAACAAATAAAGGTCTTAAAAGGAATTTGTATTTTAAGGAAAAGACTTACCTACCAGCAGTTTGGTTATAAAATAGAAGTAATTAGATCATAAATGTTAATAGATTCTTGTGTTAGTAATGATTAGGGGACGGATGTTGATGACCTAAAACATTGCCAAAAATTATCAATAAAATGCTTTAAAAGTACCTTAAAAACAAAGAAAAATTTTTTATCAAAACTACTCGGGATGAACAGCTCTAACTGTTGGATATGATATTCATGTAAACAAAGCTTTTTCCTATTGTAGAAATGAACTCAGCTTGCAAACTTTTGATTTGGACTGTTATTTTAAAAGAAAATCTCTGCCTTCATTTTTCGCAAAATCGGTCAAACTGACAATGGCACCGATTGGCATCACAAGAATCTTAGATTACATAGTACTCACAACGGCTGACATTAAAATATATGAGCAAAACAATCAAATATGCTTCTCAGGAATTCTGTGGTGAACATTTGTTGCATCTCGGAAATATTGTTTGATGCAAGTACCATTAAAATAATATTAAAATCAATAAAATCATCAGAATATACCTTATAAATTAAGTAAAAAAGTGAAAAATGACTTATGAGTTGAAATCAATAAAAAAAATGCAAAATAATTACATACAAGTCATTTCATTTTCCGTTAACATAAAATGTATTTCTATACTAAACAGTCATGTTCTAAAGTGAAAAGGGAAAAAATAATGATATTTAATTAAAATCCTAGAAAATAAATGTTCATAGATTCTAGTATTAGTAATGATTAGAGGGTAGATTTTGATGATCTAAAACATCGCCAAAAATGATCAATAAAATGCTCTTAAAATGTTTTAAACATGCCCAAAAAACAAAGAAAACAGATGTAAAAAATATGATCAACACCAGGTCAGACAGACAAGTGAAGCTGTTGGATACGTTACTGATGTAATCAAGGCTTCTTCTATCTGCCTTGAGGATGCTTGCAACATGTCAGGCGAAACGTCTGCCTCTCAGCCAACAACGTGGCATCTCCCGGATAGCCAAGAATTTAAGGCTTCTTTATTCGTTCACGTGAACTCACCTTGCAAACTTTTGGTTTGGACTGTTCTTTAATATGAAATCCCTTATTTTTAGTAATCCTGAAATCAGCTGAACCAACAATGGTGCTACTAAGTGTGACAGGAACCTTACATTACATATTCACAACATCTGATATTACAATTTCTGAGCAAAGAAATTGAACAGGCTAAATAAAATTTGAACCAAGTATCGTCAGCGAAAAAATGCAGTAAAAATGACGGGAAAAGGTAGAAATTTACTTGTTGAAATCGACGAAAAATGCAAAAGACATAAAAATGGGTAATATTATTTTATCATAATTAATGCTATACTAAACGGCATTGTTCTAAAGTTAAGAAGAAAAAAATGACATATCATTAAAATCCACCCCCTTGTATTGATCAAGGTATAAAAATAAAGATTTTTTAAAATTTCTATGCACAAACCTTTGCAAATGTTTGTGCACGACAAACTCTCAGAACTTGAATATTGGAAACAGAAATAATCCATTTACATTGCACTTTAGATGGATAAAGAAACCATTCATCCCATCTCTAAACTTTCTATTTCTTCATTCTCCAGAGGATGATCTGCAAATGTCTTGGCAAGTAAAGCGATTGTTCGTGTCTTCATTTTTTGACCTGGAGTAGGAGACTGAAATTTGGCCTGTTTTTTCAGCAGACTGGTTGTCACACAGCTGTCAGTTCTTTGAGTCCCAGATCTCACATTAAATTTGACAGAAACGGGGCTTCCATGGCTGCTTCCGTGTGGCTAAAGTACTAAGCCTCAGTTGAGGATAATGCCTCAGTTAACCTTTTCTTGGAGCACCATGAAACATAAAAAAAGTTAAGGATGTAGCCTAAGGAGAACATTCTACTCATATTCCTCCAATCAGCAACTATGAAACTGATTATGCCTTCCTCATCCCTCAAATAAGTTATCTGTAGGTTGATGATTTTACAGTTTTCCATCTGAAATCTGTGTATGTCTCTGATGTAGCCACTATCTCAAACTCTCCCGTCGAGGTAGATCGGTTCATGTCCTGACAGGAAAAAGCAGAGAAGGTTTTCACGTTCCTTTCTTTATCATTCATCCTCTTGCTTTTCATTTTATATCATTATCTTTTTTTTATCTCTCCTTTTTTCTTCCTCAGTTGCCTTCTCTGTATCCTGAACTGGACCCATGTATTTGCCGGGTAAGACAACCCATGTCCAAAGGGAATGGGTAACCTGGGGGTTGAGGGGGCCTGTGCATACTCGCTTGTAAGCCACTTTGTTGCCGGAACCTTTGGTTAACTGCATGAAATTTTTTCAATTGTCTGAGTGTCTTCTAGTGAGTCCTGTTGACTGTGTTTGGTGTGTCCCATGTGCTTCAATACAGAACCTTTGGCTTTGGCCTTTTCTAGATGGATGGTCAAGAGCTAACCCATTCCCAATTAATTGGCTGAGACTAGGGCTTCACCTGAACTCTAGAGTGAGCATGGTGGACCCACAGGGCAGCGCTGTGTCAGTCTTCTACTGTATATCTGTACCAACATTGGCACCCCAGAGGGGTGTTCCCTTGTTGGAATCCATACTGGATGGGGAGCACAGTAATACACAAACATAATAACTTCCATCTTATGAAATTTAAATCCAAGCCCTTGACCGTTTCCGGAAGGAAGAGGTGATGTTTTGAAAGAACCATAGATTTGAATAGTTGTTTTTTTCACAGAAAGGTTACACCGAAGAAAACATGTTTTCTTCTTAGTGCGCCAAGAAAGGACAAACATTTAAAAGTGTGTGTTGGAATGAGTGCAGTCCATCTCACTTGATTCATAAAGGATTCATTTGGAAAGCTCAAAGCCATTGTGTGACAAAGGAATGGTACCATTCTCTACAAAGTACACGTCAAAAGATCCTTAAAACTCAGCAGATTGCTGGTCTCCAAGTGGAAGTGACCTACTCATAACTTTGTAAGGGAGTTGTCAACTACAATAATTTTGCTTCTGAAACTGAGTAGAAAGTTCTCTCTTTCTTTAAGAGTCATGGTGTCACAGAGGTGTTCGGGATCAAGAAGAAAGAGCATGGGAGAGAGACTATCAGTGCTCTGGTTCACCCACTCACATTAGTGCTCACAGACCCACTTGAACACTTGCTAAGTTGGGAGATCGCCCCTAAAACATTGTCCTTCAGCAATTTTTTTGCACCTCCGCAATGAATTACACACATACTGGGAACACTTGAGTAATTACAAGATTACATATGCAAAAATACATTTTGCAAATGGAAATTATTTTTCTAGTAAGAAAAGTATATTTGCAGATGAACGGAGCTTGCTGAGTGAGGAGAGTTCCCTTTGGGGAGATGATCGAGGAGAGAGCTTTGTCTCAGAAGCAGCTGACACCAGATGGGCTGATGTTCCAAGCACAGCTGTGTTGGAACAGTTGTCACAGGAGCTCTCCAATAAAGGTTCGCAGAAATCTGAAGTGCAGCTAAGGTGAGTTATGTATGTAATTCAAGAAGCTTGTATGTTTAATTTCTAGTGAGGTTTGGTGAAGAAAAGGTGGAAAATAACAATTCCTCGTGATTATTATGATGTTATTTTAAAGCTTTCAATTCACTCCTGTAATTTAAAATTATTTCCATGAAAATATAGGAATATATAAGAATTCCCTTTTCACCTAACAAGTTGACACTTGTTGTCAGCTTAATGTTTTTCTTGTTTCGTCAAATTTTCTTTGTAAAACAAGGTTGTGTGTTTGTGAAAACTTTTTATCTAAAATTGTTTTAGTAAGATTGTATCCCAATTAAATTAATAGCTACTTTGACAATCTTTCCGTTCCTGTAGGTACCTTCTGCAACTGTTCATGGAAGCCATGTGTCTCGAATGGGCTCTTATTATCTCTGTTTTGTTGAGGGATGCTATGGCAGTTCTGCGGGCTACTAATGCCGTGCAAAGTGCAGATCAGTCATATGAGGCAGTTTTACGTTTAAGAGAGGGATTCCTTGCTTTATTTCACTGGAGCAGCTCAGAGTGGTAAGTAATAATAAATCACAATCAATCTTTCAGAATATATTTTCAAGTTATTTATGCTGATACCCCAAATAAAAAAAGTATTAGTAAATGCGCTGCAATGAATATTTGTTTCATTTCTTGCCTATTTCCACAATGTTTTATCAACAGGTTTGTAAGGTTCTGATCCAGTGAGTAAGAAAGATAAGTATTAAGTATGAAATTTTGTTGTGAAAAGGGAGTAAATCAGTCTTTGTAAAACAGCAAACGTTATAAATAACACAGATACACTAGTGGTGCTACAGATTGGCACAGACTTTGTGGTATTAGTTGGTTTTCTGTTCTCTTCAGTCTGGGCTAGTTGCTAGCTTGTAGTAGTAATATTTAAACTTCAAGTAATATTTCAGTTCTGCCGTTAGAAAAAACGAAAAATTGTGGATTTTTTAAAAAATTTACTTTAGGTGGCAATAGATGGTAACTGGCAAAACATTGGAGTAAGACTGAAAAGTTAGTCCAGTCCAAAGAAATACAAAAACTAACTAGCATGAGAAAATCTGTGCAATTTTGATTGCACCACTAGTTTCAGTTGTTAGCTGCTGTGAGAAATGGTGTAAATGAAGGATAATTAGTTTGTTGAAGATGTATTATTAATTATAATTCTCTCTGAATCTTAATAGTGCTTGATAAGTCTAAAGATTTTCTGCCAGTAGTGAAGACTGCTCATATCCACTGCACATATTTTCAGCCTTGGCTACAAACCCTTCATGTCTGCAGTTCAAGGACAAGCCGCTGTTCTAGCTAAGGTGCTCAGCAATAAAGAGAAGCTTCTGCAGTGTCAGCAGCAAGCTGCTGTACGTCGACAGACACCACCCCAACAGAGTCTCTCTCCATCAGCCTTGTGCTCTGTGCCAGTTAGTACATCGTTGTCAAATTCATCTCCTGTATCTCCATTAGGGACTCGTTCACGCCATGCCAGTTCTAATCAGGACTCTGCTGCGAGTCGAGCTGCTACTGGTTCAAATTCGGGTAGCTTGGGAAGATCAGAAAGGGATGTGATTAGGCAGGACAGTCTAGAACATAAATCTACCAAATCAGATTCTGTATTTAGTGGAGAGGAAAATTTGAACAGTGATCAACCTATTGAGACAAGAAGTGTAAATGAAATGAGTAAATACGAAGAACTTGAGAAGGAAAATGCTGAAGGCTCAGGATGCGTGATAACATAGTGATATCTTATATGTATTTTTCAGGGTTATGTAAATAAGGTACTGACGTGAACTTTATATTGTAAAGTGTGAATGTTTTCCTGCAGATGGAACTATGTTATACAACAAAGGCAGTCTTTTAAAATCTCTAGAAAAATATCTGCTCACAATCTTAATCTACAATCAAAAATTACTGAATGTTTTCACTATGTGATTGCACATTCCTTTTACATCTTGTATACTATTGAAAATAGTTGGATATATGCTGCAAGCAGAATTAATTGATAATAACCTACACTGGTAGGGAAGAAATAAAAAAGTAAATTCACATTATTTTTTTAACATTTTTCTCCTATATATTTCTGAACAGGAGAGTAGTTGAATTGTCATACAGAGTGAACTGTTGGTTCATTAATAAGAGTACAAATTTTTTTTTAAGCCCCTGATGTTAGTCAAGAGCAAAATTGCAGCAAAGGTGATTTATCCATTCTAATGGTGCTCCTGTTATTACCTTTACTAGAAATGCTTCCTGTGATGTGAAAGTTTTGGGGAGAACCAGATAAGCTTATTTCTCAGATCACGTATTTCAGGATACATTTATTGCACTGTGTTCACTGAGCCTTCAAAATTGTTTTCTTTTCCAGTCTATTGTTAGATCTTACTATGTAATTGTTTTTGTTAATGCTGTAATTGCAGTTTTCAATACTTTACAACTTCTGGACCTATCTCAGGGTTGTAGGTTGTAACTTAAGATGATTATCATTTTGGGCAGTGAGTTTGTACCGTGATATTCTTGAGAGAGGAAGTATAGCTCATTTTTCCATGTCATACATTTGTGATGGGAAAAAATAATCACCTGTTTATACATTTTGTAGCAATGGTAATTTCTATTCCATAGATTTCAAATTATGTGATTAGGTAGAAGAGTCAGCTTGAATAGTTACACTTAGGTAATGGAGACAGGGAGATTGTTGTTTTCTAAAGATCAAGAACTTTGAAAAAATAAATATGTTGCATTCATGCCTCATGGGAATGAATGCTTACCTCCACTAAATGTTTCATGCAATTCTCCTCTGCAATAGTGAACTGACAATAACAGGTCTGTTATGTGGTATTAGTTTTACACACAGACACACACTTTTTTTATGTACATATATATTTGTATGTGTATATCCATCTAAAAAGTCTCTAATTTCATAAATATTTACTTACTAAGTTCAAATAAAACATAAAGAGGCTCAGAAGAAAATTCAAAAGTAGACCAAGAGGCTCTAAAACAACTTTCTCTGACAAGACAACTTTAAACAAAAGGAGGATTGTTAAAAGCACCAAAAGAAGAAAGGAAGGAGAAAATGCAAATAGCAGTATTACTCACACTGAAAGTGTAAGATGAAATGCTAAAAACTGCATCAAAAGTGATATTGGAATAATTCAACTGATACTGATACAAATGAAGAAAAAGAAGCGTACAAATATAAAAACAAACAAAAATATTGATCACCTTCAACCTTCTATAAATTTTTAAAATAATTGTGTCTGTGGAGGCAAACACTAAGAAATGTTTTAAAAAGGCAGAATATTGTATTTGATATTTCTTCATTAAACTGCGTTGAAACTGCAAAAGAAGATTGATGAAGATTTTTAAAAAAAAATTTTACCGTATTATTTTAATAAAAGTTTATTTAATTTAATCTAATGAAACCTAGCATTGTTTAATATTTTTTTATTTATTTGAATCTTGGTAAATATGTTGTATAAATTAACAGCTTAAGCTTAATTAAACTAGTTTCATAGTTGAAATTGAATTTTAATTTATAAATTTCAATTTGCAAATAAAAAAATTATTTCTGTGGAGCTGTTTTCCACATTAAATCTTTAATTTGAACTTTGTGCCAATTAATGTTGATTTTGTCCCTATTTTTATTTAAAACAACATAAATTTGATTCAAAAAGTCGCCAATGGTCCTTCCTCACAGCATTTCTCCTCTTCTCCTTTCTTTACATTACATATGAACATCATAAATGAATGATTTCAAAGCCATCTGTGACCAGAGTTATATGAATGATCTTTACTTTTTGAGTGACACTGCTTCGAAGGCTGTGATTCCCATGTTTTGTCCGTCATGTTGGTATGTTTGATTGTTTCTCTTTCTCTGCCCCTCTTTTTTTATGTTCTGGTAATTCTTTTAATTTTGTAGTTCTGTGTTCTTTAATTTCTTTTATTTTAATGAAAATATAAAATACCATAATTTACAATAATTAACATAAGTTTATACAAAATAGTTAATACAAGATTTCTTTAGACAGTTTCTACCATAGTTGAGCATTTTACTGTTTACAGCCTTCTATTTCTTTGAGTATTTTCTTTATTCTTGAAACTACAAAATAATCTTCATCTCTTCCAACTTGTGCAATTCTTCATTAACACTGGAGTTCTTCAAAATTTTCTTCTTGAGAACTTCAGTTTGTTCTGTTTTTGCCAAAGGAAGTATCATTTCTGCACTTGTCATCTAGCTTTGCAGAATAGAAATAATGATAAAGAAGTTACTCAAAATGTGCATCATAAATGTGCAAAATTCACTCGTTCTTTTAACCGTTTATTATACCAATTTGTGAAACCACAGGCTGATGTATGCCTCGAGGACAAAACAAAATGTAAAGCAATATTCTCCATTACATATTTAAAATGTTTAAAGGAATAATTTTCCTAATGTTGGTCAGTTTCCAAGAAGAGACTTGTTAAGAATTGTTACATAAAATGAAATCAACAGGTGTGTGTGTGTGTGTGTGTGTGTTTATTTTTATTTTGTTAAAATTTATTTGCATCATGCTTTCCTTTTTTCCCTTAGAAAAGAATATTTTATGAAAATACTGGTATATGAATACTGTAGGAAAATTGCATAAAACATCTTTGAATATTTTTATACACTATATAAATAAAAAGTTATTGTCAGTTTATGGACATTTTTGCTATTTCACCTCAAAATGTCTTGCATCTGAAGCCAATTGTTTGTTTCTAAACACAATTGAACTGTTTATTATAACTTATTGCTGAAGTGAGTATATTTATGGATTAAATATTTATACTTAATTTTCAGTTTGTTGCTACTGTTGTAAAATTCATAAAATATATAATTTGTAAATTGCTAACTGCAAAAATGTAATTTTTAAACTGCCTCAGATTTATCAATTTTAACATTTTTGTTAGTATATTGTTTGTAAAAATGTTGCTGATGTTTCTTTCAGTTCCAGAAAAAATACTGTGTAAAAACTACATAACTAAATAGTAAGAAAAAATTTAAATAAAAATGTTTTATTTTATTTTAAAATAATTAGTTAATATTATTTATATTAAGTAATTATTTAGAGAAAAAATATTTTTCATTGCAGCTATGATTCTTTCTTTCTCTGAGAGAAACGGCCTATCAATTGTGAAGTTTTATTTTCAACAAACCCAAAAAGCATCTTTTACAACTTGAAGTGAAACAGTTGACTTTTTAATAATTCAAAACTGTTTAAGGTGTAAAATATTTCTTAAAATATCGTTGTTTGAAGGGAAAAGAATTGCCTTTAAGTTTCCATCATTTTATTTCATACAAATTAAAATCAATAGAGGAAATAAAATAAAATTAATAGTGTTATAATGCTGTGTCCTTTTTAGACTTCACTGGTGCATTGGAAGTGGTTCTTTCTTGCTTCCCAAAAACACCTAATTTATGAATTTGTGTAAAATTATTTTACAATTTTGAATAATGTTCTTAAAAATTAAAATTTGAAACAAATATGTTTAGAAACACATTTTTAAGGATAAAGTTATAGGTAACTGATGTATCTAGCAGAGAGCTGCTGCCTTATGTGTAAACAATTTTTTAATAGAGTGTTTAATGTTATTTGATCCCAAAAGAAATATTGTTTTAATGTACAAATTTCAGAAAATATAAAAAAGATATTGAATATACCTTTTGTTCTTAAGTACCAATAGCGGAAAGAAATGGAAACAAAGCAAAGTAAAACACTTCTCTGAATGAGGTCTTCCTTCAAATTATACAATTCTATTTTCTGCTTGAGTATGTATTCTGTAGCAAAATCTTAACTATCTGTATTTTGGTATGTAGTATTTTGTTGTCATTTCTGTAATATTTTTGTAACAAGATTGAGAATCAGAAATGAAATGTATGTATGAACTATAATGCTCAGAATGAAACCCTTTTCCAGGCTTAGTTTTATGCTAAATGTAGGACTTGGATTATGCCTAAAATTGGTTGAGAAATACCGAAGCAATTAAGAAATTTAGTTCTGATTTCTTTCAATTAATGTATGTTATTGTTGTTGTTTTCTCATTTTATTGTATTTTGTAAATAATTTCACTCATCTTGAGTGAAATAAGAAATTTTATAGAATAATGTGATTTGTGGATTATGGAAAGTATGTGTGAAATTATGAATGTGTTTGTACTCGAAGGTGGTCTGTTTTGTATGTTATTTTACCATTGTGTACACATCCGTTGTACCTAGAGATTATTTTTTTACTGAAAGTATTGTTTAATAAAACCAACAAAACTTTTCAAACATTCAAAAATTATTTTAAATTTTTTTTGATTCCTGAAGATAGACAAGTTTTACATTGAAATCTTCCATCCACAACAAAATATGCCTTTTGTCACTTAATTGGATTTTTAAGGCTAACAAATAACTTGTAAAACACAGATTTTGGTGTTCTGTGCTTACCTATGTTATCATAGGTAGCGAGGCCAATTCATACTGATAGTATTGTTTCAGCCCTTCATTGAACTTTATGTAGAACCTGCTTCTGCGAAACATCACTTCAGCCTTTACGAGAAAAAGAAAGTCATCAATTTTGATTTTTAATGTCATTCCTTTTTGATTTGAAATTCATACTGTTGAAATTGACATGAACAATCTTTTTCAAACAAATTGCCAATTTCATAAGTTTTGTGGCAAATTTTACTTGTTTCACCTAACCCAATGCTAAAGGATGCTACAACTTCACAAAAACCATGCAAACATTTTGTCATCTGCACTGTCATTTTCAATTCTTGCTTTTCAAGCATTCACATAAAACTGCTCAGAAGTTGCGAATAAAACACCAAAAAATGGACTGTGGTGACTACTATTGTATACATCAAAGAGAGACATTTAAACAGAGTGTGCACAAACCGTATGAAAATGGACAAACTAAAAGAAAAATAATTAAAACATAAAACCCTGTTAATCTCTGTTTAACATCTTGTTTAACATAGAAATAGGCGGTTTGGGGGAAGGGAAATTTTTACAAGACTGCTTAGTCAAATTGCAAAGTATTTACTTCCTAGTGGGGCTATGGAATGGCAAAGACTTTCTCATACCAGTTAGTTTCCTAATTTCTTTGGTCTGAGCTAGCCCTACCGTCTTCATGGCTGCCGTCTTTTGCCACCCTAAATACATTTTTTCAATTTTTCATTTCTCTAATGGTAGAACTAAAATGTGAATTAAAGAATATTTTTTTAATGACAAAACAGTTAAAAACTATGTACTTTGTGTAGGGGGAGTAGTGTATTTTCTGTACGTTTTCTTAATTGTGGGATACCTACCCTAGCTAGATACAAGTTGAATTCTGAAGGAAATTAGTGCATTTGGCAAGAATTGATTAGAAAACATTTGCTCCATTCAATAAAAACTATTTGCAACAGCAAATCAGGTATAGATTTGGGCTCTTATCCCTAAACGTGCCCTTTGTGAAGGAATCGAATTCCTGCCACAACAACAAGGAAAATGATCATTTGAATAACTTCATATTCCACTGAACTCTAGCAGATGTGCACTGATAGTGAAATTTAATTTGTGTCCAGAAGCAATTCAAGAGGCCATCTAGCTTTTGCTCAAAGGATCAGGGAAACTGAACTAAACAGCTGATTGCGATAGCGGTCATTGATGCAGAAGTTGAGGAACAATATTCGTTACAGGTTGTTTAGAATTACACGGTCCAAAAAAATGAATGCATTAAATATCATTGTTAAAATTAATATTACTTCCTTTTGATACTTGGCATAGTCTGTAATTGTACAGAAGGGGGGGGGGGGTTCTGCCACAAGTGATACTTTTTTAGGAGTGACACCAAGCAAAGAAATAATGTAAACAAAAAACTGAAACTATACATGGTAAGAGCCTATTCTTCAATGGTCTAAAAGTCTGGATATTAACAATTATTTTAGCTGATGGAAATCAATACTTATCGATGTGAAAAAATGTTATTTACAATCTACAATGACTGAATAAAAACTTTCTGATATGGTTCTATTGTCAATAGAAAATGATATTGCAATAAGCACAGATTTTGATGAAATTATAGATAAGTTTGCCACCCTTAAATCTTGAAAAGTGTTTTTATTAATAACATGCTTTTGTTAATTATACTTAGTTCTAGATTATTAATTTAAAAATTATATTTCAATTATTCACAATTACAAAAAAAATTTAAATATATTATAAATAAACATAGTGTGCAAATATACTTGAATGTTTATTAAATAATGTATAAATTATTAAGTAATGGATCGTTTTATATTTAATTTATGGAGGGATGGGTGATATCATTAGTTTTGCCCCGAGTGACATAAACTAAAGATACGTCACTGACCTGATGAATGATTACAACTTTGAGTCTTGTAGTTTGACATCGGCATTTGCTGAAAATATATTACTACTCTTGAGTAAGAAATTTTTGACAAAAACCACTGATTCGTAAATCAAGAGACAAGGTGGTAGTACAATTCCTAGATTAATAAGGAGAGGTGTACAAGAATCATGTGGTTGGGATATCCTTATTATTTGTACAATTCTTTTTCGTAATTTAAAATTCTGGAATCTACAAGATGTATTTTCCCTGAATATTATGCCACATATTAGACGGGGATGAACATTCTCGAAATAAATAGAGCCGTTGTTTTAAAGAAAATGTTGTTTAAGCTTTACTGTAAATGTGAAATTTAAAGCTCTTTTCACAAAAAATCTTTTGGGTTTTGAAAAACTTCATTAGAAGCCATTTGACGCACTTCCACTAACATGCAATGATGTATACAAATCGCAGGAAATTTGCATATTTACAGAATGAGAAATATTAAAAAAAAAAAAAAAAAATACAATTGCGTAAAAAAACAGCAAAATGACTTTTATGTCATCTTAAACATGGATTTTTCACTATCTCTTCAAAAAATTTGGAGCCATTTTTGAGAAAATGCTATTTGAGTGTTTCTGAAAATGTGGAATTTCAAGCTCATTTTCACACAAAACCTTTGGGTGTTCAATACATTTTTAAGTTACAATTTGAAGAACATGTACTTCTAAAAGCCATAATGTGAACAAGTCACTGCTAATGAAAATAATGTGAGAGACGAGTAAAAAAAATTACACGAATAATTTTTAAAGAAACAAAAGATCAGAGTCATCTGGTACAGTACATTTAGCACTACTCCTACACAAATTTGAAACCGGTTTTGAGAAATTCTATTTTTTAACATTGCCCATGTTTTACTCAAAATTACATGAAAACCACCACAATTTTCAAAAAAATTTGCATGATGAAAGAAGTAACTATGGGGAACAAAATTCATTTTAAGGAAAATCTCTATCTTCAATACTGAATTTGAAGGAAAATGAAAAAAGGAAAGAAAAGAGAGAGAGAGATGCAATTTATGAAAATTCAGAGTTAACAGTGAAAATTGAAACCATGCTATCATTTTAAGTGAATTTTGTATTCTTACAAGAGGTGTTTTTTGAAATTTGGAGCCATTTTTGTGAGAATTTTGAAAATGTCCAAGAGGTTTCATGTAAAGTACCCCCACATTTATCAGAATGTTTCTCAAACTTGCAGAGCTACAATTGGGGCCAGATCTACCTACTCTTTGGACCAGGTTGACTACTGAATATAAATTTTGGGGAAAATCCTACCTATAGATGACATACCTTTTGAAAGAAAACATTTTTTTGCCATGAGAAACATACAAATGTTGATTCTGACTACAAAACATGTTAGAACAAGTAATTTTCTACAAATTGGAATAAGATTTATCCACTTTCTCTGGATCAAGGCTCCACAAAACGAATACCAACTTGTCGAAAAAATCGTTGTTTTTTGGTACAGCATCACATAACTTTCTCTCTACTATGTATATTACTCTGTATATATATGAAAACGTAACTAGTAGTGCTACAAAAAAGCACAGACTATCTCCTAATTAGTTTTGTAATTTCTTTGGTCCCAGCTAATTTTTCAGTCTTGCCCTATCCGCTTGCCAGCTGCCATGTATCGGTACTTTTTTTTTCCCCTCTCTATTTCTCGGTAGAACCGAAATAGTGATTTAGGGATATTTTAGACCCGTTAACCCTCATCCCATTTGGAAATTTTTGTTGAAACTCTTTTAACAAAAATTTTGTTTGAGTTACTGTAAATAAAAAATTTGAAGCTCTTTTTCACAGAAAACTTTTGAGCTAATCCTATTTGTGTGATTTGTATAATGTATACAAATTGATGTAAATAAGCATATTAACAGCTGGAGAGATAGTTAAAAAAAATTACATTTGCATAATTGTTTAAAAAACAAAATAATACAGCAATGTCAAACTTTGTCATCTTATACAGTGCATTTAGCATTATCCATACAAAAAGTTTGAAGAAAAATTTTTGAGCTGTTTTGAGAAAATGGCATTTAAGCATTTTTGAAAATGCAGAATTTTGATCTCATTTTCACAGAAAACTGTTGAGTTTTTGAGAATCATTATAAGACATAATTTGAAGCACATGTTCTCATAAATGCAATAATATATACAAATTACCAATAATGTAAATATTAACAGGGTGAGGGATGTAAAGAAAGTACATTTTTGTAATTTTTGAAAAATAAAAGAATAGGGCAAAGTGGTGTTTATTTCGTGATATGCAATACATTTAGTACTATCACCAGCAAAATTTAAAAGGAAAAAGTTTATAGACTAATCTAGGTACATTACTAAAATACAAAAACTTTTTACAAGTTTTTATTCAATAATACAATGTAAATCCAAAACAGATGATAAGTTTCTTCTCAAATACATCCAAGTACTTCAAGTAATAATAAAAAATGAGTACACTCAATACAGTACAATGCTACATGTGATTAAAGCAAAAGCTGTGGTAAATTTCAAAAATATCATGGACACTAATCATTCAACCTAGAGAGAACAAGGTTAGTTCTGACAAAGCTACTGATATAATTAAACTTCTCCAATTTTTCACAATACTGACAACATCCAAAAATGTCTACAGTGGCATTAAGAACAGTTTGAATAAAGTGAGTATTTCTGATGGAAATATTGATAGTGACAATGTGATTTGTTATAAAGGTGATGAAATAATATAAATGAATTACAACTTGTCAGTATATCCGTCCGAAAATCGATATTGTATTTAAAATTCTCTTTCTTTTAATATCACAAAATATAAAACTATTAATAATATTACATAAAATTAAACTACTGAATGCGTATGTACTTAATATATTTCTTACTCAAATCTCCTGTTTTGTCAATTTTTTACATGTATAACAAAAATCCCTGAATCCAATGAAGCATACGTATGCTTCTGTGAAAACCTTTCAAAACATGCAATTAAAGAACAAACATTTGAATTTTGAAGAACAAATACTAAGGTTTAGTACTAAATTCCAATAAAAATATTAAATTCTATCTCGAATTTAAAAACTCAATTCCTGAAATTTTCATTTTTGCACATATCAAGTTTTCAAAATTCTCCTCAATTTGAATTTGAACCAAATTATAGGTAACTATATGTAAATGTGAACATAATGAATTTGAACTTGAATAAAATTTCTATCGCTCTAGAGGTGAACTTCTAATCCAAATAAGATTTTTAAAATTGTCTTGTAGGTCACCATTCTATCTTTCAGTATATGACATTAAATATTTCCTTATTACTGAAATTCAACAGAACAAAACGGTGTAATGGTATTGAAGAATTTTAATAATTCTTCAATGTCATTACACCGTTTTGTTGTACTCTCTAATCAAAACTTTACTATTTTATCAAGAAAAATGCAGAATGAAAAGAGCAGTTTTATACATCATTTCTATTAAATCATTTGACTACAACAAAGATTGAGGATTCAATTAGAATGATAAGTTATTAATAATTAATTAACTTCTAACGGTTTTGCCATATTATTGCAATCAGAGTTTTGTTTCTTCAGCCACTTTTTTCATTTCTTATAATTGCTGCATCCCATTCCACTCATAACAAGATCCAGGAAACTCTTCCTTTTCAAAATTCTTCCTGGCACAATGGTTAAAAAAAAAGTCTTACAAGGGGGTGATTAGTTGTCATGACAAAACCAGCTTTGATTTTTTTCCAGTGATAGTAACGATAAAATGTAGTTCATATGCATCAGTTTAACTGCTCAAACAAATTATTCTAAAAAATTCACTAATATCAGAGTATTTTGAGTAAATGATGAAATTGACATTCCACAGAAAATATATCACTGCTTGCCTGTGTGGCCAATCTTATTTAATGACAGAGGGCTGTGTAAATGGAAGTTTCAAATGCCACAAGTGGAAAACCAAGCAACTACTAGTTGTTTTGACAGCTAAAACATTGTGTAAGAACTACTGATTCTTATCATCACTGAACAAAAAATCACAGCATGATTCAATATGACTTAACAGATCATTCCCCTTGTTAATGAATATTTGTGTAACTGTTAACTTTTCTGCCCATTTAAGACATTCAGCAATGCTTGTTGAGCAAAAGTTACAATAGAAATGTATTACAAACAATAATTACTGTTTCAAGCCTTGTAGTTAACTTGGGTTGAAATGTTAAGTACTATGAGTATAAAATTTCATTACAAATTTAGCGGTGGCTAAATTTAAACAGAGCTAAGGTTCTTTCAGTTAACTTCTCTTATGTCAATGTGTGTATATTTACATAACATTCACTTTTTTACCCTTTTTTAACATTTATGGAAATACTTCAATTTCTAAGTCTTATATTAAAACATTAAAATATTATATAATTAATTTGCTTTGAAACAGAAATCAAAGTTATATTAGAAGTTGTTACAATAAAAAGAAATACTTTTTTATTAACGGTATATTTATTGAATATGTAAGATTACAAAGAAAATGTTCAAAACTGATCTGTGGCATATTCTAGAATATAATTACATTTGCACACTACTCTTCTATCTGCACCATCCACAACGGCAGATGCACAGCCTGATCAGAAATTGTCTTACCTACGCATCCTTCTTTCACTTAAAACATGCCCTCAATCTTATTGTTAGGAGCAAATAGCATTAATAACTAGTAATTTCGATTTTAATTTTCATAATTTTAAAATAAAACAAATAATATGAATACCATTTTTAATTGAGCTATAATTTATTTTCACTTCTTGAATTTACAAGGGGTGGAGGCGCAAGCGTAACGTTATTATTTCTTGGGGATTCATGCGCGCATTACGGGCAGAGAATACAGCACAGAGCATAGTTTGTCTGTAGTATATAGTATATACCTAGTGGGCATATAAGGGCGCTACAAGGGGGAGAGGCGGAATTCAAAATTCTTCAAATTTGCGTTATGTAATTAATGCACGGCCCCTTTCACACAAAATTTAAAGTACATATATAGTTTTCGTAAGCAACAATTGTTTCCCCACCGTTATCTACAGCACTTTCGTGAAGTTCGCGAATTATAGGCAATTCTAATATTTCACTTTGAAATGGCGAAAAAAACCGGTGTTGTTTTCCCCGTGCACATACCACTGTGTACGAATCTCTTCCCCCGGGCCGATTTATTCTGTGTTCCGAAACACAAATAATTCTGAGTTTTTTTTTTAATTCATCATGATTCTGGATTCATTTCTCGACTCAAAAATTGAAAATGAATTTCCAGACTTCGTATTTTGTAACTGTGTATACAATTGACTGTCGACAATGCCATTGACTACTGCCAACTGCGCATGTGGTTTGTTCACATATTCATTCTTTTCTAATAATTAAATTACGACTGCAGAACTAATTTTTGTATAATTTTTTACGTACTTCACAATGATAGCACTTACCATCACTATCGTTAGAATATTTAGACATTTTCTCTGTGATATTTGAAGAATAATTTCCACAAAAATATTCAATTTTACGCCCGAAGAAGTGGTATTGGGTATTGTCAAAGAATGTGCAAGAAGACCGTATTTTATGTAATTGTCTGATGCAGCCGCTCGTGCATCGTTAGCAAACGCCTGCAAAGAATTACTCTGAACAATAACAGCCTACAGAAATGTGTTGGGAAGTCACATGTAGTTAATTGTGTTTTTGTGCCCATAAAAAAATACAACTTTCAATTATTGCTCTCGTTTGTGCAGTGAAATTAAAGTGATGGTGCTGCTTTAGTGTTGGAGCAAGTGGAGGGAAGTGTTTTAAGAAGAAGTTATTGGTAACGGTGTGGAAGGACCAAGTGCGAGTGAAAATTTAGGAATTCTGTTCTCTTATGACGATTGTGCATATTGAATGACCTTCTAATTTGAATTGCCGGCAATATAATCGGAACATATTGAGGTTAATTAAAAATGGCTCAAAATTCACCTGGGCCTTTGCCGTTTGGGCCCGGTCGGGGACCACCTGGAGTATGCCCGAGAGCTAACCTTGTGAGTCACCCGCATCCCCATTCTCACCCTCACCCCCACCCCCATCCCCACCCTCACCCACATCATCCTCACCCACACCCGCATCCCCATGGACATCCCCATCCACACCCTCATCCTCATCCCCATCCGCATCCTCATCCACCCATGGTACCAGGTCAAGTAAGAATGCCTATGATGCCTCAATATCCAATTCCCCCTCCAAGATTTGGGCCTCCAGGACAGCCAACTGGAGGAGACAGCATTCCTCCGGATGTACGTCAGTTAAATGGGGGTGCAAGTAGTCCAAGTCGATCCCCTGCATCTCTTCCTCCAATTCATGATGAAGGAAGTTCTGGAACTGAAGGCAAAAAGTGTGACTGGTCTGAACACAAAGCCCCAGATGGAAGAACTTACTATTACAATTCTGTCACTAAAGAGAGTTTGTGGGATAAACCCGATGAGCTAAAAACTCCTGCTGAACTTCTTTTGTCACAGTGTCCGTGGAAGGAGTACATGTCAGATGCTGGTAAACCGTATTATCACAATGTAGAAACAAAAGAGTCTCGATGGACGCAACCAAAAGAACTTGAAGAATTGAAGGCTCGCATAGCAGCTGAAGAAGCAGCAAAAATTCCTACTCCAGCACCTACAGTCTTTCCTTCTGGTGCAGCTGCTCAACTTCCTACGGCTCCTGCAGCCAGTCAGAACAGTCCCAGTATTGTATTGCCTCCTGAACCTGCTCCATCTTCAACACCTGGACCTACAAGTGCTCCAAGTGAGCCATCAACTACTCCTCTTCCTTCTTCTCCTGGATCTAACACTCCAGTTTCAAATAAATCAGGAAGTGGATCAGCATTAGACAAAGCAATGGCTGCCACATTAGCTGCCCTGAGCATTCCTGCACCCTCAACTCCTACAAAGACAGAAGAAGCACCTCCTGCTAAGGAACCAGCATCAGGAAGCAACAGCAGTACTCCAGAAAGAAAGCTCACATTCAAGGACAAAAAAGAAGCAATTGAAGCCTTTAAAGACCTTTTACGTGATCGAGATGTACCCAGTAATGCCACATGGGAAAGTGCATTAAAATTAATAGCGAATGATCCCAGATACCCTGCCTTAAAAAATTTAAATGAAAAGAAGCAAGCATTTAATTCATATAAAACTCAGAAATTGAAAGAAGAACGAGAGGAGCAGAGACAACGTGCTAAGAAGGCCAAGGAAGATCTGGAGCATTTCCTCATGACTAATGAAAAAATGAATTCAAAAACTAAGTATTATCGATGTGAAGACTTATTTGGTTCCCTAGATGTTTGGAAAAATGTATCGGAGTCAGATCGTAGGGATATATACGAAGATGTTGTATTTAATTTAGCAAAGAAAGAGAAAGAGGATTCTAAAGCTTTAAAAAAACGGAATATGGAAGCCCTAGCAGAAATATTAGATGCAATGACCAATATAGTATATTGTACCACTTGGCAAGAGGCTCAGCAAATGCTCTTGGATAATCATGCATTTGCTGGTGATGCCAATCTTTTAGGAATGGACAAGGAAGATGCCTTAATTGTGTTTGAAAAGCATATTCGAGAATTAGAGAAAGAAGAGGAAGCTGAGAAAGAGCGAGAGAAAAAACGCCAAAGGAGACAACAAAGAAAAAATAGAGATGCATTTGTTCATTTGTTGGATGAGTTACATGAACAAGGAAAACTCACGTCCATGTCCCGCTGGGTAGAATTATATCCATTGATCAGTGCTGATCTAAGATTTTCAGCAATGTTGGGACAAGCAGCTGATGTTTCATTGGGCATGCTTAGTTCTGGCTCAACACCTCTTGATCTCTTTAAATTTTATGTAGAAGATTTGAAATCTCGTTTCCATGATGAAAAGAAAATAATTAAAGAAATTCTGAAAGAAAAGGGTTTTGAAGTTCAAGTGAATACCACTTTTGAAGAGTTTGCCACTGTAGTGTGTGAAGATAGCAGATCTGCTACATTGGATGCAGGCAATGTGAAATTAACATTTAATGCATTTTTGGAAAAAGCGGAAGCAAGAGAAAGAGAACGTCTTAAGGAGGATGCTAGACGTCTAAAAAAATTGGAAGCAGGTTTCAAAACCTTGTTGAAATCGTATCATATAGACTACGCTACAATATGGGATGATATACGGGGCAAATTTGAAGGTCAGCCAGCATTTGACGCTATTACTTTAGAATCAGAAAGAGTTAGAATATTTAAGGAATATCAACATGAACTGGAAGAAGCTTGCAGTCATCATCATTCCAGATCAAAGAAATCAAAGAAAAACAAGAAGAGAAAACGATCATCTCGTTCACGATCAAGATCACGTTCTGATAGCGATTCTGGTGATGATCATCATGGACGGAGCCATTACCGTGATAGAGAAAGAGGACGGGGAAGAAGTAGAGACGGCACGCGACACAGTCATGCTAGGAATCATGGGAGTCGATCAAGTAGTTCAGATAGCCAGCATTCTGGTTCAAAAAAATCGAAGTCCTATCATAAAAAGAGCAAAAAGAAACGTGCCAGGAGTAGGTCTCGATCTGCTACTAGAGCATCAGACGAGGAACTAGACTTAAAAAACTCTAATCAGAAGGGAAAATCAAACCACTGGGAAAGCAGTGGCCATGAAGGTCATTCTCCATTACACATGAGCAAATCAGACGAACAAGAAATGAGCGAAGATGAACTGGAAAGACACCGGTTAATGCTACTCCAGCAGTTGCAACAAGAAAGTTGAACAGATGTCTAATGTTTTGTGTCATTGAACTTTTATATCTTTATGGTGAAATTATATATGTTACATTAAAGAATTGAAACATATTGTGTGATCAGAATGCTGTTTTTATATTTTTCTTGAATCGAACACATTTTTTGTTTTGTTTTTTTAAATTTTTATGTGATTTTAACGACTGTGAATTTAGATTCACATTCTGATTCAGTATCAGTCAGTTCACAGAAAACATTTTGTTTTGCTCATGGTAGATTGGTGTATCTGTATATGTACAATTTTGGAAAATGAAGCTTCAAACCATTTTACTATATTTCATTTTTAACTTTTTGGTTCTACCTTGCGAATCAAAGAAATTAAATGTGTAGTTATCAAACTCCTTATAAAACAATTTTAGCATGGCATTGTGTGTCATTGAAATGCATCTCAGAACAGAATGAAATATATTATCCAAGCATATTTAATTTCTTTATTGCATCCTTCTACTTCTGAGGCAATGTCATCGTAGATTAACCTAAGTTAATTACATCTAGGAACCATCAAATATATTCGTGATACAAGTTATACACTTGTTATAACCCTTCTAACATAACATTTCGACACTCAGTACATTCATTTGACACTTCCATTCAATTAAATTTCTAAGAGAAGTCTTAGTTAATAATATTGTTTACTTAACACAATGGATTTATCTGTTTTTAAATGCATGTAACAATTAGCATTAGAAGTATGTTTGAACACAAGTCTTGAGAATACTTTAGAATTCCCCTTCATATCATGAAGTTCCTTTCTTTGTTGAACCTTGTTTCGCTCACATTTACAGTGGATGGGCCCTCTGTGCTTTCAGTTTCAAATCAAGTGAGTTGGTACATTAGTGTTATTAATTTTCAAGATGACTTGATTGTTCCTAATGTACAGAATGTTTGTGATTTTCTTATTAAATAACTTGCATAGTTCAGATAAAGAAAATTGATTGTAGCTACAATGAATCATGTATGTCTGTTTTCAAAATTAAAAAGAAAGCATTGAGTAATGATAAACTTATTTAAGAATAATATGTAGAATAATCAGCAATTTACAAAAATATGCTTGTGTAGAAAGCTGGCAAGAACTCATATTAAAATTATTCAATATTGGGTGTTTAACACAAATACCTAAAGAAAAAACATACTTTGTGATTAAAGAGGGAAATTGTATTTGCATTGAAAACTTGTCCTTATTATAACTGTGGTTAAATCTTTTTGAAATATGTTTGTGTATTACACAAACTGGCCAGAAATTTTTAAATTTTGCACGAGTTTAATTCATGAAATTTGCAATTGGAAGTAATTTTTGTCATATTTGCGAGGTCTTAATGTTTCAGTAGATCAAAGTTGCAGGAGATGACTTGTATTTTTACTTAGAAATGTAATATAAAACTGAAGTAATGAAAGTAATAAATCATGACTTCAAAGAACAATTAGGAAAAATTGCGATTGTAATGGGGGTGGCAATTATTCAATTCAAGAAGTATTTTTTTCTTTCAAATTTCAATTAGAAAAGGAAAGTATCTGTCTCTTTTTCTTTTCGTTTGTCCCCTATCTTCAGGCTACAATTAATATTATTTTATTACTATTTATTTATTAATGGTAGCAACAACAAGCTGTTGTATACATATCTTACAAACTGTGTAATAAAGTTCTATAATAAATCACTTTCATAGAGTTATAACTAAATTACAATTATAAATCCCAGATAGTGCATGTATATACACACACTCGTGTAAAAGAACTTATTTTAAAGACCATAATAAGTTACAGGCATTAAAATATATGATACAGTTATAATCAAACTCTAGCACTTGATGTAAAGTAACTTGTGAGGACTCACCATTTTGAAAAACAAAAGATAATTAATATATTAAACTAAATAGATAAGTGTGCAAAAGCACATCCTGCATGGCAGTTACATTAAGAGGATTAAATTTAAGAGACTGTTATGAGGTAGTAAGGGAAAGGGAAGGCAGGAGAATGTTTCAAAATACTGTTAAACGACATAAAATACAAGCAGACAATTTTTTTTAAGTTTCCAAGATTCTTCAGAGGGAAAAAAATTGGTTTTTAGAATCGCATCTTCCAGTCAATAAGACTGAAAATAAAAGCACTGTGGCATACAAAACTTTAACTGAAAATTTTAAGTTAATAATTATGTGATTCTGTGTTGTGTCAGTCAAAAAAGCTGCAGTCAAACTTATCTATAAGTTTATGTTTGCCTATTGCTTAACATTTCCCAAAGTGGATTTTTATCACAATTTTCCATTGTTTAGAAAAGAAATATCAACTATTTATTTCATATGTAAAGTCTGGGATTTATTACACTTATAAACATATATTGTCAAATTTTAGGAACTTGTCTTTGTACATTCTCAAAATGTGTTTAGTATTTCTTTAGATATTACCAGATATGGCAGGTAACATGTACTTACTCAAATAACATTCTTATATTTATGTTTTTGAGCTCAAGGGGCACGCCAAGTAGAAAAAGCTTTTTTACTCAGATAAGCCACATTTTTTGCACATTTGATAAATTTAATGACGTTAGGCAAAAGAAGTAGCTTTGGATTATTACATGTTATCATGACAACATAAATGAATATATATGTACTTTGTTGTGTAAGGCTAGTTAACTTACTATTGCAATTAATGTATGCACTTTCACACTTATTGATATTAAACATTACTTTTTCTACAAAATATTTATGAATAAAATGTGCAGTTTATTGTTATTTCAGAGGTAAAAAATCACTCATTTTAAATTCAAGTATTTTGCCTTTTTAAATTTTATGCCAGATTTTCTTAGAATTCAAAAGCTGTACATCATATAACCATTTGTTTCATTATTTGTATGAACATGTGTTCAAATTTAAAAAGAAGATTACTTTTAACAAGTTAATATCTGCAATGAAAATTTCTTAATACAATATCAATTTCTTAATTTGTATTTGTCAATACCTATCGATTTAAAATGCGAAAAATGAACGAAAGTAATTAAAATCTAATATGAATAAAATAAATTGTCCTTTTTTTGCATTATTTCAAATAATTGTTAAGTTCATTGACTGAAAATGTTTTTGGTAAGTAGCCAATTCAACAGCAGACCACAATTTTTATTTTTTGCAAAGTAACTTACGTCCATAAGAATAGGAATTAATATAATAGTGAATAAAGAAATACAATTTTCTTTTATTACGTTTCAGCAACTACATGCAACTCAGTTCCAGTTTTTATGAAGGAATGTACAGGATCACATGTGGGTGCCAGACTGGTTTTATAGTTTATATAATTTGTATTATTTTTAAGACAAATTAATTGCAGTAGGATGATGAGATGATCAATGGTAAATGTTAATGTGCTGTCATTTAATAAGCCCTACATACTAGAATCATCATGAACTGCAGGTGTTTAAGTATGATTCTGTTCCTGTTTGTGCTGGTTCAGTAGACCTAGTAGATTAATCTTGTAGGTATTCTTGATTTTTTCATCTCTTTAACGATTTTTCAAAGTCTCTGTTTCCAATTGGTTTATATTTTCAGATGAGTTTTGGTAGTATCCATCCTGCAAATGTGTTTTTTCAATCTCTTCTATTGTATATTTGGTTTTTAGTTTTCTTCTGATGTCCTTGTTTCTCAACCTGTCTCTTCCCATGGCTCCTAAGAGGAGCCTAAGGAATGTCATTTGTGCTGCCTGTATTTTCTGCTCATTTTCCTTCATTATCCATGTTTTTGAATCATATAAAAGCATGGGTTTAGCTGTGATATTATGAATTTCAATTTTGTGGAAGATCATATAATTACCAAGAGGCGTCTCGTGATTTTCAAAAATTCTGTATAATTGGTACTGTTTCTCGATGTTTCCATGAGTGTGATTTGTACATCGATTCTGTTGTCCTAGGAAGGTGAATTCTCTTACTTGCTTCCACTATTTCCCATTTATTTCAATTTCTAAATCTTCTTTGTTCTTTTCCTTGCATTGCCATGGGTTTTATTTTGCTTGTTGATATTCTCATGAATCTCCTATATAACTTATGATAGTCTAAAATTGCCCTCTGGAAGTTTTCTTCAGATTCTTTTACTATTACCTGGTCATCTGTGTACAGGATTGTGTCAATCTTTCTTTCTCCTTTGATTAAAACTCTCTGATTCATCTTCTTCCACCAATTACTTATTAAGTGGTTAATATGAATGTTGAAGAGAACCAGTGATAAACAACAGCCTTGTCTGAGGTCAATGCTAATACAATACTGTTTCAAGTTCTGACGTTCTTATTAGGTTATTTGTGTGATCGTCAATGTATGCCTGTTCCCTTTCCTTTTCCATCCTGTTGACACAATCTTCTTCGTTGTTTCAAAGTGTGGGGTAGTGTTTGATCCAATCTTCCCCTGAGATGTTGTTTAGCAAGATTGTGTTTTATATTCATATTATGATTCAAAATTTTTAACCCTATTCTCTCAGGACCCGTGATGCCTCTTTTAATGCATACTCTCCAATTCTCTCTTCTGTTCCTTCAGCTAAGTTGTCTTTCTTGGGCCCTTACTTTCTTGTATTCTATGTAATATTTTAATTTTCAGTTTTGCAGGGAGGTGCTGCAAGCTTGTTTCTTCTGGGCTATTATTTCTTTAATTTCACTGTCTCATTTCCTCAACCATTTCTTCTTTTGCAAGGTTTTATCCCTAAGCTTTTTGAAACCTTTCATCAGAGAATCATTTTCAGCATGTTTTTTTTCATGTTGTACATTAAGTGTGAGGGTGGGGGAATTTAGGTTTAGGAAGGTGAGGGGGGGGGGGATTTAGTTTGGGTCTCGGAAGTGTTAGTTACGCAACTGGCATATTCGTTACAAGAAAGAATCTATGTAAATGGTACATTCAATTGAGGGATAAGAGAAATGAAGCTTGTTGTTGAAACAGTTTTGTTGTAAAGTACACAGGAGTTGCTATTCCTTGAACACAATGAAGGCATCTTTTGTTAATTGTGG